AAATCACCAGAATTATTTTTTTAATCTAACATCCCCAATTACCTATTTTTTAAATTAAAAAAAAATCCTTATGATGGGCTTTTATGTATATGCTGAGTTTTATTCAATTTTCATCTCATTTTCCTTTTTTTTTTTCCCTGCCAATCTCAAGATGGTTTTTTTCTTTCTCCCTTTTAATTAGGAGAAGATACCCAATCTTTTAAGCCTGTTTTGGGGCAAAAAATGGCTATTTTGTTGGTTTGTAGCATTAAAAAAAATGAAAAAATATTTTTGATTATTTTAAAGTATCTTTTGTTTAGTCTTCCTTTATGTATCTTTATATATATAATGTATATTTTTATATATGCATTTTATCTTATACAAAATACATAAAATTTTATTTGGCTAATAATAATATTAAATAGTGTAATTGAATAGCATCATATTGATCAATAGGACAGTAATTGCTTATGATTACTTATCTATATTTTTATGTGTTGAGGATATATTAATAATATACATACAGTACAACAGTTGTATCTGAATATATAATATAATCTCTACTGTAATTATAAAAAATACAACGTATGATCTATAATGCTGTAATTATGTTGTTATTATCATTATTCTTGATTTGCATTTTTTAGTAAAAATTTCTATAAAAATTCAGTATAAACTTATTTAAAAGTTATATGTACAAAAGATGTGAACTAGGAGAATGTAATATATTTTCTATTCATGTAATATATTACTGCATTTATTAATATAGCAAACTATATATTGCTATTATATATAACTATCTAGTTATTAAGATATAATTATTAACTATAGAATAGATATAAATTACTACAAATATAATTATATAATACAATTCTTACTTTACAATATAATATTATGTAGAGTTGCATATTATATGAATGCCATTGTTATTGTATTATATTGTATTGTTATTGGTATTGTATTATAACAGTATGTAATTTATGCATATAATATTTATTTACATAATTATATATTATTTTATTCTGCATTACAATGTAATATCTACTTTATAATTGTTATATTAATGATACATATAATCATAGATAATATTGCAATATAGTGTAATACAATGGTATATTATTTCTATTCTTTTCTCTAATATATTCTCTTTGTAATTTTGCACCTTACTGCTTATTTTTGCTTGATTTTTACAATTTTTTCCCAAACCATTTCTATGAAAACAAGAAAAAAATTATTTAAAATCATTATCTGTCTAATTTTATAGAGAAAATATAAATCATCTACAGTTTTATATAATTATAAAAATAACATGTAAATGTATTTTCTATTATTACTAATACTGAAATAAATTCAATAGCCACAGTGTTTATTATTGTATTACTTTAATTATTTTTAATGTTTATGGAGTTGGATTAAATATTTGCTGATATTTCTATCAAAATTAAGTACAAAGTAACAGAAAAAATACTACTATATATTTAAATATAAGTATTGTATATCACAATTTTAAAATTAATAGATCTGTATAATAATAATATTGAAAATTATATAACAAAGTTATGTAATGGATAACAAGTATAATAATACCGTAACAGGCTGAAATGTAATTGACATATTTTCACTGATATAGGAGTCCTATATTATTAATATTTTATCAGCGTACTAATCAGTAGTAATATACTAAAGTATATTACATAATACTAGTAATATATCATGAACACAAGGTGTAATAATATAAATATCTAGTAATATTGTTGTATTAAGGAATAGTATTTTGTGTAATTAATATTAGTTAATAATACAACATTATTTCATATTTTTAACACATTGATGTATTTTAATAATTTGCTAATAGAATACAAATGTTGTTTATTAACATAACAAGCTGTAAATAGAATTTATATTATGATTATATATAAAAATGAACTCTATAAATTGGATACCGCAGTCATATCTTTAATGTAATTTCAGTACAATTCCTACTGCAAAATAGGAAAATTGATATATAAACACGTACAGAATTGATATAAAAATATAAAAGCCCCTTTTATATAACCCCTTGGTTAACATAAAAATTAACCAAGGCCTCCTTTTCCCCCTCTTTTCTCAGCACTCTCCAGTGCCAGCTACCGGGGCCAGGAGTTCCTGGCCGTGTTCCCACAGAATGATGACGAGTCCCCCAGTGCGCACCTGCAGCTGCTGCTCACCTCCTATGGCCCTGCTGACACCCAGGTGTCAGTGACGCTCCGGGGCAGCTCTGTCACCAAGAACATCACCCTGAGGCCAGATGTCACTGTGCCCTTGCCTCTCCCTGCTAACCTGGAACTCACTGGAAGCCACACTTTCGATAAAACCTTGGTGGTCCAGGCCAGCGGTGACATCTCTGTGGTGTCTGTCAGCACCAAGGGCTACACTGTGGGTGCCACTGCCCTCCTGCCTATGGGGAGCCTGGGCACCAGGTACTATGTGGTGACACCGGTTGGGAACTACACTTATGGCCTGACTGAGTTCGTGGTGGCCACCGGCGCCACCACCACCGCTATCAGCATCACCACCACTGCCACTTTCCACTATGCTGGGGCCACTTACGTCCCTGGTGCTGTGCTCCGCCTGTTCCTGCAGCCCTACCACAGCCTGCAGCTCCAGAGCAGCCAAGACTTCACTGGCACTGTTGTAGTGGCCGACACCCCTGTGGCCGTCCTCAGTGGCCACACCTGTGTCAAGGTGTCTGCTGGCTTTGACTTTGTGGTGGAGCAGCTCCTCCCAATGACAGCATGGGGGAGGAGCTATGTGGTGCCACCCAATCCACTGCAGACAGACGTTGACTTCGTTTACGTGGTGACAGATGAAGACAACACCATCACCTACAACACCGGGAGTGGGAATGCGACTGTGGCCATGGCGGCAGGGGAGGTGCAGACATTTGTGCTGAACCGTAACTCCCACCTGTACATCAGTGCGGTGGTGGCAGTGCAGGTGGTGTTTTTCTTCAGCGGCTCATCTTGGCAAGATCCCTTCCTCCTTGTTGTCCCACCTGTCACTGCCCATTGCACTGCATTCCGCTTTAGCAGTGTGCCCAGCCAGTATAATCATGCCATCCTCATTGCACCCACCACTGCCACTGCCACCACCACCCTCAACCATCGGCCAGACAACACCATGGCATGGCAGGCCATTCCTGGCACAGACTTCTCCTGGGCCAGCATCGCTGTGGGAGCAAAAATGCAGAGTGCTGAGAACTCACAGGTGCCCATTGGGCTCCTGGTATTTGGGTTCCAGAGTCACACTGGATATGGCTTCCCAGGGCTCTGTGCCACCAGTGAGTACAGTCAGTCCACTGTTGTGTCACCCCAATGGTTGGGCCTTGTGCAGTTGACCATTCATGGGTTTTCCCCTTTTTTTCAGTCCCCACATCACTCTCCTATGAGGATTTGGGATGTGAGGAGAGGTGTGAGCTGGTGGATGGACAACCAGAGTGCATCCAGGAGACTTTCTCCACCTGTTGGCTTGCTGGCGGGTCACACTACCGCAGTTTTGATGGAAAAACCTTTGATTTCATGGGAACATGTGCCTACACCTTGACCACCATCTGCGATCCTGATCCCACCCTTCCTGCCTTCTCTGTTGAGGTCACAAAGAAGGAAATGGAGAACTCCAAAGTTTCCTCCATCAGCTCCATCACCATCCATGTCGACAACGTCACCGTCACTGCTGTCCAGTCAGAGAATGGGATGGTGAGGGTAAGCCATCATAATTTCCCAATTTTTAAAATTTTTGCTGAAATTGCATATTTATCAATGATCTTGAGGGTCTTATCCTAAATAATTCCTGGGTTTGCTGGTGTGCAGGTAACCCTTGTATGAAAACACTTCTAGTCTTCTTAAACTCTATGCCAAATTTTGAAGGATTTTGGTTGTTTTGATGGTTTTTGTTGTCCTCCAGGTGAACAACCACCGCTCGCACCTTCCCATCTCCCTCTCCCATGGGAAGCTCCGCATCCGCCAGAAGGGTAAATCCATGTTGATCCAATCAAATTTCAAGCTGAAAGTCCTCTACAACTGGGATGATCACATAGTGATCAAACTTCCGGCTGCTCTTTCTGGAAAAGTGTGCGGAATGTGTGGGAACAACAATGGGAATCCCCAGGATGACACTCTCTCTCCTGATGGAAAACAAGTGTGGGATATTGTGGAATTTGGGCAGAGCTGGAAGGTGACCAGTGAGAGTAGCCGCTGCCAAGACACTTGCGACGGTGACTGTGGGCGGTGCAGATGGGACCAGGCGGTGACATACAAGGCAGAGACCTGGTGTGGGAAGTTGTCCCAACATTCTGGGCCATTCCGGTCATGTCATGACACTATCAGTCCTAATATCTACGTGAAGAACTGTATCTATGACCTGTGTGCCAATGAGGGGCATCGTGATGTGCTGTGCCATGCCTTCGAGACCTATGCTGATGACTGCCAGGAGGAGGGGATCAATGTTTCCGATTGGAGGACAACAGTGGGATGTCGTGAGTAGAGGATGGTTGGGTGAAAATGCTCCTTGGGATGGGCAGAGCCTAATTATTGTGGGACTAACGATCCATAGGATCATGGGCTGGGAAAGGTTATGGCAGCAGATCCAAGCAGGAAATCCATGGAAGTCCAGGGAGATTCCAGAAAGTCCATGTAGAAAGTCCACAAAGTCTGTGGAGTCTCTAGAAAGTCTGAGCAAGAAGTCCTCAGACACTCCAGAATGTCCAGGCAGAAGGCCTAGGAAGTCCATGGAGACTCCATAAAATCCATGGAGACTCCAGGGTATCTGCGTAGATAGTCAAAGAAGTCTGTTCCACCATGTGCCGCCCCACCCTGACTGCTGTCTCCCTCCCTGTCCAGCTCTCACTTGCCCGCCCAACAGCACCTACAGCACCTGTGGCCTCGCCTTCCTCCCTTCGTGCAACATCCCCGCTGTGTCATCCAGCTGTGCTGCTGTCACCACCTGCGTAGACACTTGCGTGTGCCACGAGGGCCTTGTCCTTGATGCCAACACCTGCATCCTCCCCTCTGAATGTGGCTGTGTCTTTCGGGGTCTCTTCTATGGCCTTGGCGAGGAATTTTGGGGTGACCTCACTTGCACTCAACGCTGTGTGTGTGACGCGGAGCAGCGGCAGGCAGTGTGCCGGGATTCTGGTTGTGGCACTGAGGAGGAATGCCGGGTGGAGGAGGGGATCCAGGATTGTTATCCCAGAAGTTTTGGGGTTTGCACTGCTGTTGGAGCCACCCACTATGAGACCTTTGATGGCAAGAGGTTCATCTTCCAGGGGACATGTGTCTACCTGTTGGTAGGGTTGTGTGAGGACACCCAAAATTTGGTGGGATTCCAGGTGTTGGTGCAGAATGGCCACCGAAGTGACAACCTCATGTTGTCCATTGCCATGGTGACAGTCAAAGTCTACAACAAAACCATCAGCATTAGCAGGGAACATCCTGGAAAAATCATGGTGAGTTTAGGAAATGATCCCTTCTTTTTTCATCACATGCTCCACCTTGTCCCAAACCTCATCCTATTAACATCTGAAATGTAATTAAATCGACATAATTTGCCTGTTCCAGATCAAGGAGTGGTTGATCAACCTCCTCTTGGGACTTGGTCCTTCTCATTCTCTTAAATCCAAAATTTAATTCCATTCAAAATTTAATTAAATTAATGCTTTTTGATTGCTCTGGCTGTTGAAAGTAGTTTACTATCAGTTTGCAAAGTTGATCAATTTTTATGGTTTTCTCCCCAGATTGATGAGCAGTTGATCAATCTCCCATATCACTACAGTGAAAGAAAGATTGTTGTCTATCGTCACGGGCAGGATGCGGTGGTAGTGACCGACTTTGGCCTTGTTGTCACCTATGACTGGTACAGCCACGTCACCACCATGGTGCCCAGTGGCTTCACTAATGCCCTATGTGGACTCTGTGGGAACTACAATGGTGCTGCAAGTGACGACATGATGATGAGGAACAACCATGTGACGTCAGACCCAGATGCCTTTGGGAGCAGCTGGAAGGTCACAGATGTCCCAGGATGTGGTGAGAGGTCAACAGTGGAATGTTCCAGCACACTTGCACCTTCCTGGCTGCAGCAGGAAGTCTCTGGGATGGGGTGTGAAATTATTTTGGAAGTGGATGGACCTTTTAGAGCATGTCATAGTCATGTTGATGGCCACCAGTACTTCCAGAGCTGCATCCATGATTCCTGCCTGTTCCCTGATCAGGAAGAAGGGATCTGTCCAATCATTGCCCTCTACGCCACCGCATGCCAGGCTGCTGGTGTGTCCATCAGGAGGTGGAGGACAGATAATTTCTGCTGTAAGTTGGGACAATGGGAGGGTTTTTCCTTCAGCAGTATCCAAAGGACCCTCAAATCTGCTCCAAATCCATCTATGAACAACCCAGAGGTGCATGGGAATCCAGTGGAAATTCCACCCAAAGTTTTGGTTGATCCCATAGTCCACCCAAATTAAACCTTTCCTAAGGAAGAAGTTGTCTCCTCTGGAATAATTTACCCCCTCAAAATCTCCAATTTCCTGGTGTTGGCTAAAAGGTGGCTAATTTAGAGGGAGAACCATCAAAAATTGTACCAAAAATAGTGGAATTGGGTTAAAGGGATTCAGCCTGGAGATCAGTTGAGGACCCAATGTGGAGTGATCCCATTCTTTGAGTGAATGTTACATTTTTCTCCATAGAAATGTGAGAAATTGGGTAGTTTAGTGGAAAAATTCCTATTGAAATGGGCTGGGATGTTCCTTATGGATGATCATTGGATCATCATCAGATAATCATTGGATCGTCATTTGATGATGTCCCTTGTCATGTGCACAGGGATGAAAATTGGGAGTTTGCCATGGGCTAAAAAACCCTGTATTTGGTGAAGTTTGCACCTGAATTCCAGGAATGTTCCAGGATTTGGCTTGGAATTTCCTGATTCCTTACGAATCCCATTGTTTCCCGGCAGATATTCCCTGTCCTTCCAACAGCTCCTATGAGCTCTGCTCCCACACCTGCCAGCACACCTGCGGTATTGACTCTGCCACATGCCAAGGGCGGTGCCGCGAGGGCTGCACATGTCAGGATGGCTTCATGCTCAGCGGTGACGAGTGTGTCCCCATGTCCCACTGTGGCTGCAGCCACCATGGAGTCTACTACAAAGAGGGGGAGACATTCTACCCCACAAAGCAGGAGATGTGCCAGTGCCTCTTTGGTGGCACTGTGGAGTGCCAAAACACTTCCCATCCTGATGGTGGCCATGGGAAGGTCATCAGTGATGTCGTCCAGTCTCCCTTGCAGCTGTCCAGCACCTGTGTAGCCACAGGTGACCACACCTATGTTACCTTTGATGGGATGGCCTTCAACATTACTGGTACTTGCTCCTACATCCTCACCCAGACCTGCACAAGTGACAACGTGAGATCATTTATGGTCACAATCCAGAAGGAGGCGCGGAAGAAGGGGAAGGTCTCCGGGATCCAAGTGTTGTCTGTGGAAGTCTATGGGGTCACCTTGGCCTTGAAACAAGGAAAAAGGGCAGATGTCATGGTAACATGGCGCTTTATGTTTCAAATCTCATGGGATCCCCCCAAACTGGGTTTCTTTATAGAAGGGACACCTCAGCCCATCTCCCATCCCAGTCCAACTTTTCTTTCTAAGCAAGATCTGTAAATGCATTAAAACCTTGGTTGGAAGTTGTTTTCCCTAAATTTTTCATTCTACCTCAATCAACCCCGAAACTCTGTTTCCTTGGTGAGGGGAGCCCTCATCCCATCTCCAAGACTAATCCATTCTCATTCAAACTTTTTCTTCCAAGTGGGATCCACAAATCTGTCAGAATATTGTTTGGAAGGTGTTTCCCCCAAACGTTTGGTCCCACCTCCTCACTGGAGGACTCTTCCTTCTCTATCCCAGGTGGATTCCATTTCCCACCACCTCCCCACCATCCTGAGTGAGGGACAGGTCCAGGTCTACCCACATGGGACAGGTGTCCTGCTCCGCACTGACTTCGGCCTCATTGTCCACTATGACTTCGTCCAGCATGTGATGGTCACAGTCCCCCAGACCTACATGGGGCGCTTGTGTGGCCTCTGCGGCAACTACAATGGCCAAGGCAATGATGAGTTCCAGCTTTCCAGTGGCCAGCTGGCTCCAGATGCAACAGCCTTTGGATCTGCATGGAAAACAACAGATACGCCTTGCAATGACACCTGTCCCAAGGATGAGTGTCCCACCTGCACAGAGGAGAAAGTGGCAGTCCTCCAAAAACCCAACTATTGTGGCTTACTCACAGCCCCTGAAGGTCCCTTTGGCTCCTGCCATCGCATCATTGACCCCGTCCCGTATTCCCAATCCTGCATCCATGACCTCTGCATGACGGGAGGGGACACACATGTCCTGTGCCAGAGTATCCAGAGCTATGTCACTGCATGCCAAGGTGCCGGTGTCACTGTGGGGCCTTGGAGGACGTCATCCTTCTGCTGTGAGTTTGGGAGGGCACAGGGGTGAATGTTCCTGTTTGGGTCTGGGTGACAGTGTTGACACACAGGACATGGGATGATGGTGATGGGGTGAGCTTTAAAGTCCTTTCCAACCCAACTCAATACATGATTCCATGAAAATTCCAGCCCCCACCTGCCCAGCCAACAGCACCTACTCGCTTTGCACCAACACCTGTGCCAACATCTGCACCGGAAATACCACCACCTGTCCCCAGACCTGCACTGAGGGCTGCCAGTGCCACCAGGGTTCTGTCTTTGATGGACACAGATGCGTTCCCGAGGATTACTGTGAATGCTTCAGGGATGGGGAATACTATAAGGTAGTTTTTCTGGCCTTTTTTCCTGTTTTTAGGCATTTGTGTCTTTTTTCCCTTCATTTTCTCCCTATTTTTATACCTTTGCTTCCTTTTTCCTTATATTCCTTCTTCCTTTTTGTTTTTATGTCCTTACCTCTATTTTTCATGCATTTATTTTTCTCATATTTCTCTGCATTTACCTCTGTTATCATGGTGTTTTCTTTTTTTTCCTAGCTTGATGTATTTATATTTTTAAAAATAATTTCCCCACATTTTCTCTATTTCTTATGCATTTACACCTTTCTTTCTTGCATTTTTCCCTACTTTTCTTTCTCATTTTCCCAACATTTTCCCCTTTCCATCCTCCTATTTTTATGCCATATTTCCCCTGCGTTCCCTTTCTTTTCCTATTTCTAGGCAGTTACATTGTTTTTCTTGCCTGTATTTTTCTCTGTGTTCTGCGTTTGCATTTATTTTTCTGCATTTTCCCCATTTTTCCTTTATTTATGCTTTTCCCCAGCATTTCCCCCCTATTTTTATACATTTATGTCTTTTTTTCCTGCATTTACCCTTTTTTCCCCCTTTTTATAGAGAAGGTATGCATGTACATCCCTTTGCCTAGCAATTTGTTCACTATTTTCCCTATTCTGCTGCACTTACATCCTTTTTTCTGCATTTTTCCTTTTTATTTCCTATTTTCATGGATTTCCCTTTCTCCCTTCTCGCCCCGCCACAGCCCCATGAGATACTTTTCCAGGATCACTGCCAGCACCGTTGCACCTGTGTCCCTGGCCAGGGCCTTACCTGCCACGACCATACTTGCACTGAGGACGAATTCTGTGAAATCCAGGAAGGGGTCTTGGGATGCATCAAAAAAAGTGAGGAAAAGTTGAGGGAAGAGGGGAGTTTTAGATGCAAAGTGGATCTGGGAGAGATTGAGGGGTAGATTGGGGAAAAAAGGGAAGGGGAAGTGGAGGGAACAGAATTCTGCCGCTAAGGGTCAGGAATGGGACAATTCTTCCCATGGTTTCTCCCAAGGTTTCTCGCTTATTTTTGTTCCCCATCCCATGATGTTTCCCATGGTTCCTCCCATGTTTTCTCCCATCCCATGGTTTCTTCATGATCTTTCCCATGCTTTTTCTCATTGTTTTTCCCATGGTTTTCCATGCTATGATTTCTCCCATGGTTCATTCCATGTTTGTTCCCATAGTTTCTTCCATCCCGTGATTTTTCCTCTTCCATGGTCTTTCCCATCTTGCAATTTTCTTTCTTATATGACTTCCCCTCACTTTCTTCTTCATCCTTTTGCCCAACCCATGGCTTCCCCCGATGTTTATCTCCTATTTCACCCAGCCCATGGCTCATCCTGCTCTCCCTCCCCTCCCAGACCCCTGCAAGTCCCTGCACTGCCGCCCCAAGGAGCGCTGCCGGCCCCGCGGTGCCCAATCCCGCTGTGTCCCAGCCCTGGTCGCCACATGCTGGGCATGGGGTGACCCACACTTCCGAACCTTCGACGGCCTTGACTTTGACTTCCAAGGAACCTGCACCTACACCATGGCTGAATCCCATGGGAATGATCCTGGGCTGGTGCCCTTCAGGGTCCAGGCCAAGAATGACATCCGTGGTGGGATCCAATCTGTGTCCTATGTCTCCCTGGTCAAAGTTGACGTCTATGGACAACGCATCTCCTTCCACCGGAATGAAAATGGAAGAGTCCGGGTGAGTTGGGTGGAAATGTGAGAATTTGGGCTTTTTCCCAACTTTTTGCTTCATCCAGCTCTTCCCTACATCCTTCTTCATCCAGCAGTGCCAATGTTATTTTGGGATAAATCAGTCAGACTGGGAGGCTGATTGTTGAAATATTGACATATTTTGGGAATAAAATGTTGGGATATGTCAGGAATAAAAAGTTGAGAAATTATGGGAACAAAATATGGGGAATAGAATATTTGGATATGTCAGGAACAGAATGTTGTGATAAGATTGGAATAAGATGTTGGGAATAAAATACTGGGGTATGTCAGCAAAAAACCAGGAATAAGATGTTGGGGTAAACTGGGATAAAATGTTGCTGTGTCTAGGGAATAAAATATTAGGATATTTCAGGAATAAAATGTTGGGATGCAACAGAAATAAAATACTGTGGAATGTTTGGATATTCTGGGAATAAAATATTGGGTCATAGTGGGAATAGAATATTGGGACCTATCAGTAATAAAATATCCCTGGAATAAAATGTTGGGATATGTAAAATGTGGGGACATGATGAGATTTAGTGTTGGAATATGCTGGGAATAAAGAATTGAGATATGTGAGGAATAAAATATTAGGATACATTTGGAATAAAATATTGGTGTATGTTGAGAATAAAATATTGAGATAACTGGGAATGTTGGGCCATTGGCAGGTGAACGGGGAGGTGACGCTGCTCCCTGTGCTCCTGGCAGACGGGAAGGTGCGGGTCCATCCCAGTGGGCTCCGTGTTGCTCTGGAGACAGATTTTGGTCTCCAGGTCTCCTATGACTGGAACTGGCACCTCCAGATCAACCTCTCCAGCAGCTACTACCGCCACGTCCGTGGTCTCTGCGGGAATTTCAACCTCAAGCCCCTTGATGACATCCCCGAGGCTGGTGACAACATCACTGCAATTGTCACATGGGCCAAAAACTGGAAAAGTGCTGACTTTGAGGTTGATGACCCAATTTGTTGGGATTATTGTGACGGAGTATGCCCAGTGTGTGATGAGAAAAAGAAGGAGCTTTATGGCGGGTACCACTATTGTGGGATCATCAAAAAATCCTTCCAGGGACCCTTCAGAGCATGTCACAACATAGTGAAGCCTCATGACTTCTATCGCAACTGCCTGTCTGACCTGTGTCTGAGCAATGGGGCAAGGTCAATCCTCTGCCAGGTGCTGGAGACCTACGCAGCGACGTGTCAGAAGCATGGGGCCATGGTCCATGACTGGAGGACGCCATCAGGATGCCGTAAGGGCTGGGGTTTTCTTTGAGAAGGGAAGGAGCCAGAGTGGGGGAGGAGGGGAATGGAGTGGGATGCATCCTAGGTTGAAACCCTCAAATCTCTCAGGTGATCCTTGGAAGTTCTCCTGGTGCTCCAGCTGCTTCTTGTGTCCCAGAACCCACCCCATCTTTCCAAGAATCCATCCCACATTTCCAAGATCTTTCCCACATGTTCCAGGCCTTTATCATTGTGTTCCAGACCTCATCTTGTGCATTCCAGACCCCATCCCCCAAGGCCCAGACCCTTGCCACATGGCTCAGACCTCATCCCTCTTGTCCCAGTCTTCCCACATTTCCCAGACCTTCCTCCTTGCAATCCAGGCCCTTCTTGTTTTCCAGACCCTTCCCCATATTCAAGACACTTTCCCAATCCTCACCTACTCTGTTGAATGCTGTCCACTCCCCTAATCCCTCTCTCATCCCCATTTCCTCCCTCTGCAGCCTTATCTTGCCCTGAAAACAGCCACTATGAGTCCTGTGGCAATGCCTGTCCAGCCACCTGCTCCAACTGGGACAGTACAGCCACCTGTGACCAGCCCTGTGTGGAGACCTGTGCCTGTAACACTGGCCACGTGCTCAGTGGTGGACAGTGTGTGCCGGTGTCCCGCTGTGGCTGCACCCGTGATGGCCGCTACTACCACCCTGGCGAGGAGTTTTGGGGCGATGACACCTGTCACTCCAGGTGCAGGTGTGACATGGAGCTGGGAATGGTGGTGTGCGAGGACTCTGGGTGTAAGCCGGGTGAGGTGTGCGCAGTGGTGAAGGGCGTGCGGCGGTGTGTGGCCAACAGACGCTCCATCTGCGTGGCCACTGGTGACCCCCACTATACCACCTTCGATGGGCGCCGCTACGACTTCATGGGTACCTGTGTCTACCTGTTAGCTGGGCTCTGCTCCACTGACCCCACCCTCATCCCCTTTGCTGTCACTGTGGAGAACAATCACCGTGGCAGCCACCTGGTCTCCTTCACCAAGGTAGTCACCATGGAGGTGTACAACATGACCCTCAGCCTCAGCCAGGAACATCCCCAGAAGGTCAAGGTAGGGATGATGGGGGTGGTTAAGAGTCATTGCATGGCATCTGATGAGGGCTCAAGGTCATGGTATGGTCCTCAGGTGTGCTTCAAGGTCATCACATGACACTTGGGTGGAGTTTCAAGGTTCTTGTAAGGTGTTTAGGTGGGTTTCAAAGTCATTTCAAGGCATTTGGTTGGGTTTCAGGATTCTTGTATGGTGTTTAGATGGGTTTCAAAGTCATTGGGGTGGTGTCTGGGTGGCTACAAAATCATCTTGATGGGCTTCAAAGTCATTGCATGGTGTCTTGGTGGGCTACAAAGCCATTGTGTGGCATCTGTGGGTTTCAGGGCCATTCCATGGCATTGGGTTAGGTTTCAAGGTTATTGTATGCTCTTCAGGGGGGTTTCATGTGGTATCTAGGTGGTCTTCAAGGTCATTCTATGACACCTGGGTGGGTTTCAACTTCATTGCGTGACCTCATGCCACCTGCAACTCTCTTGCCAGGTTAATGGTGTCCTGTTGGACCTTCCCTTCACCCACAACCATCAGCTCCAGGTGTCTCTCCGTGGTGTCCATGGCTTCATCACCACTGAGATGGGTGTCACTGTCACCTTTGACTGGTACAGCTATGCCCGTGTCATCATTCCCAACACCTACGCTGGCGCCGTCTGTGGCCTCTGCGGCAACGCCAATGGTGACCCCCATGATGACTTTGTCACCCGTGATGGCCACCATGCTGACAATGAGACCCACTTAGGGGACAGCTGGAAGGTCAGCGATGTCCCTGGGTGCTCAGCTGGGTGCAGCGAGGGCTGCCAGGTGTGCAGTGATGCCCAGAAACGTGCCTACCGTGGAGATAAGCACTGTGGGCTGCTGGGGAAGAAACGGGGGCCCTTTGCCACCTGCCACGACATCATCGAGCCCGGCCCTTACTTGGATGACTGTCTCTTTGACGCCTGCCTGTATGAGGGACACCAGGACACCGTGTGCCCGGCCATTGCCACCTATGTTGCTGCGTGCCAGAGCCAGGGCGTTGCCGTGCAGCCATGGAGAACGGCTGCCTTCTGCAGTATGGGGGGACCTGGGGGACTTGGGAGAGTGCAGGGGGGTTTTGGAGGGCAGAGAGGGACACAGGGTTTGGGAAGGAGTTTTGGGCTATCCGTGGAGGTATTTGGGGTGTCTGGCAGGGAGAAGGGGAGTGGGGGCTGTCTGTGGGGGCTTTGGGGTTTCCATGGCAGGTTTGAAGTGTTCCCAGGGGTTTTGGGGTCTCCATGTGGAGCTTTAGGGTGTTAGTGGGGGTTTTGGGGTCTACACAGGGAGTTTTGGGGTGTCCATGGGGGATTTGAGGTCTGCACAAGGGGAGGCCTGGATGAGGGATTCTAGGGTTCAGACAAGGGAGTTTTGGGAAATCCATGGGAATTTGAGGTGTCCGTTAGGGTTTTGAGGCTTTGCAGGGAGTTTTTGCAGGGGTTTTGGTGTTCCCAACCCTTCTCCCTTCCTGACAGGCCCTGTGTGCCCCCTGAACCAGCACTATGAGCTCTGCGGCCCCCCGTGCCCTCCCACCTGCCAAGGCGAAGTTGGACCTCAGGACTGCTCTGATGCCTCCACATGCTTTGAAGGTTGTTTCTGTGATCCCGGATTTTTCAGGAGTGGGGATAACTGTGTGCCCCTCCCCCAGTGTGGCTGTGTTTTGGAGGGCCGCTACTACCCCCGTGGGGAGCAGTTTTACCCTGCTCCTCCCTGCACTGAGCGCTGCATCTGCTCCGAAAATGGGAGGCTGGAGTGTCACCCCACTCCAGGCTGCTCCAGTGACGAGGAATGCACAGTACAGGATGGGGTACTGGGGTGCCACCCCCGCACCTGCAAACAGTGCCAGGTTTTGGGGGCAGGGGCTTACAGCACCTTCGATGGGTACCTGGGGAATTTTGGGGGGTCCTGCACCCTCCTACTGCTGGAGTTGGAGAGGGGTGAGCCTGAAGAAGAGCTGGAGCCTATCACGGTGGCCTTGGAGCAGGAGGACACGGAGGTGCAGCGGGTGACGGTGACGGCGCACGGGGTGACTGTGGTGATGGACAGGGGACAGCAGTGGGAGGTGATGGTGAGTGGAGGCCCTGGGGGCTTGGAGTTGCAAGCCCTGGTTTTGGGGGCAAAAAGATACTTGGGGGGCAAAAAAGGGGATGGAAATGGGGTTTTGGGAGGTGCAGCAGTGAGGGAAGGCCTTGTTTAAGGTGAAAGCTCTGATTTTGGGGTGCACACCCTGTTTTTCAGGAGCAAGCAATGTTTTGGGGGCAATGCTTTTGGGGGTGAAAGCCTAGTTTCACAGGTACAAACCCTGTTTGGGGTACACACACCACTTTTGGGCTGTACAGATCCTTTCTGGTGTGCTAACCGTGTGATTGAGGTGGAAACCATGATTTTGGGGTTGAAAACTCTCTTTTTGGAGTGTAATCACCATCCCTTTTTAGGATGTAAACCATGGGTTTGAGGTGCACAGAAGGAAGTCCAGACCCTAGTTTTGAGGGTGCAAACCCTGTTTTTGGGGTTGCAAAACCTAATTTGGGGGATTAACCCCACCCTTGGTCGTCCGACTTCCCTTTCGAGATCCTCACCCCTGTCTCCCCCAGGTGGATGGCGAGCGCCACTTGCTGCCGCTGTGGCTGCGTGAGGGCGCGGTGGGGGTGGCGCAGGTGGGGTCCCACCGGCTGCTTCAGGTCCAGGGGGGTCCCAAAATTCTCTACGATGGCAACGCGTATATGGTGCTGACGCTGCCCCCCACATCCCACCGCCCCCGGGGCCTCTGCGGCAACTTCAACGGGGACCCACACGACGATGACCCTGACGAGGAGGCTCTGGGCAGCGCCCCCACAAACTGCACCCGCCTGGCGCCCGCCCCCAGCTGCTCCCCGGCCCAGGCGAGGCGCTGCGCGGTGCTCACGGACCCTGAGGGACCCTTTGCGGGGTGTCATGGGGTGGTGCCGCCCCGCACATACCTGCTAACCTGTGAGCACCAGGTGTGCGGGGGGGATGGAGACCCCTGCCCCGGCTTTCAGGGCTATGCAGCCGCGTGCCAGGCAGCTGGAGGTGCACTCCGGGAGTGGCGGGAGGCCACGGGTTGCTGTGAGTACATGGAGGGCTTGGGAATTTTGGAGGGGGTCGGGAATTTGAGGTGACAGGAAGACTGGAGTTGGGAGTTTGGGGTGGTGAAGTTTTGGGAGGGTGGGAATTCACGGGTCAGGATTTTCGTGGGGACAGGAATTCTGCAGGGAGTGGCAATTTTGGTGGGGGTGGGAATTTGGAGGTATGGGGGAGTGGAGCAGGGTCTCATTCCTGCATGGAAAGAGGGGCACATGTCTGCATTGCTAAGCCCCCATCTGGGGAATGCCCAAATCACACCCGCAAAGGGGACCCCCCCCCCCCCCAAAACAGGAAGCCTGTGTCCTCTGGGGGAACCCTGTACAACCAGTGGGGCCCCCCTCGTCTCCAAATGGGAGCCCCATGGGAGCACCCGCCCCAAAGATAGGATGGCATTGATATCAGAAGACACCTATTGACCCCAGATGACCCCCCCCAGTAGCTCCACTGCCCCCCATTGACTCCCTTTGTTTCTTCCCTCCTTTTCCCAGCCCTCACCTGCCCACCCAAGACCCACTACCAGTTGTGTGCCCGCACCTGTGAGCACACCTGTGCAGGTGTGTCAGCCCCGCCCCCCTGCAGTGAGCGATGCTTCGAGGGGTGTCAGTGCACCGAGGGGCTGCTGTTCGACGGGGCCCGCTGCGTCCTACCGGGCACCTGCGGCTGCCTCCACCAGGGGCGCTACTTCCAGGTGAGTGTGGCCCCAGTGCCTCCCAGTACAGCCCAGTTCCAGCCCTAGCTCCTTCCAAGCTCCCCATGATGATCCTGGGTCCCTTCAGTGTGCCCCCACAGTGTCCCCAGTCCTCCCAGTACACCCAAGCATCCCCCATGTCATTATTTCTCCTTGTGTGTCCCACTTTCCCTAAAGACATGCCCCAGTGGACCCTTTAGCCCAGGGTCTGTCCTCACAGTGAGAGCTCAGGGTCTCCCCTCCCTTCCAGTCTCCCTTGGTATTCCCTCTATTGTCCACAGTCCCTCCCAGGGCAATCGAGTCCTCCCCCCCAGTTTCCTCCTCAGTGTTCCCAATCCCTCCCAATTTGTCTCTGTTACCTCCACAGTTCCTCCAATGCATCCCAGTTTCTTAGTGGGGTACCTTAGTGTCCTTCCCAGTGCCTCCCAGCATGTCCCAGTGTCTCCCTGTATCTTCACCAGTGTTCCCAAGCAGGTCCCAGTTCCCCCACTGTGCCCCCCATGGGGGACATGGGGATATGTGGGGACATGGCCACATGCTGGGGACATGCTGGTGGTCCCCATGGGCACCCATTGGGAACATGGAGACACACAGGGGATTTGGGAGCCATGGGCCCCTTTCCTTCCTCCCATGAGACCTCACAGCATCATCATCCCCATGTTTTGGCCATTTTAGGCCACTCTTCCCCACTTTTCGCATTTTATCCATGGAAAATAGATCGCTGAGACCATCCTGACCTCTGACTGCTCCCAGTCCTGCACCTGTCGAGGGCCCGGGGGCCTCCAGTGCCGTCCCTTCACTTGCCCCTTTGGCCACACCTGCGGCCTCCGTGATGGCACCCACACCTGCATCGCACACCCAGGGCGCTGTGCTCTGTCCCCTGCCACTCGCTTCGTCACCTTTGATGGTGTCACTGGACCCACCCTGGTCACTGGCATCTATGTAGTGGCCAGCGTGTGTGACCCCCGGGACCCCGTGTGGTTCCGGCTGCTGGGGGACGTCAGGGATGTTGGGGACCAGCCGGCAGTGGTGGCACTTCACCTCTTCACCCCCCACGGCCTCATCACCGTGCAGAGGAACAGGAAGGTCTGGGTAAGTTTTCACCACCCTGGCTGGTACCCAAAAATACTGTCACCACTGCGTGTTGTCACCCTAAACATCCTTCTAACCTTCATTTTAATTTTAAAAAAATTGATATTTTTTCCCTAATTTCTGACCTGGTAAGAGTCTACATAGGTTGTCCCATTCCACCAGCACCACAGGATGTCCTTACCTTGATTTTTCCCAAATTGCTCTATTATGCTCCCAGTTTCCTGCCAGTGAAGCACCTGTGTGGGTCATGGTCACTCAGAGACATCCATAAATTGACACACCCCATAATTTTGACCAAAATTCCCCTTTATTCTCCCAATTTCATGTCAGAGAATCACCTACATGGGTTGTCCCTCATCCTATCCCCACCATGCCTTGATGCATCCCATCATTTTTCCACAAACTCCCTCTTTTCCATCCAGATTCTTCCAACTACACTTCACCCCGCATCACCCCAAATCCCCTTTTTTCCATTAATTCGGTGTTTTCCAGCTCAACGGGATCCCCACTCCCCTGCCCGCGGAGTTCCCGGGACCGTTGACCATCACAGAGACACGCACGACCCTCCAGATCAGGCGAACCCCAGGATTTCTGGTGGAACTGGGCGCCATGGGGGTGACAGTGGAGGTGCCCAGGGACGCGCGGGCGAGGCTCTGTGGCCTCTGTGGCAACTATGACGGTGCTGTTGGCAATGACCTGCGAGGGCCCGACGGGACAGTGACGAGTGACGCACGGGCACTGGCCAAGGCCTGGCGGGCACCGGACTTCACCTGTCACCATTGAGTCAGAGATGACACGTAGTCGGATTAGAAAGCAAAGTGGCAAAAACTCTCGTTTATTTCATCCTCACTTCTTTTATAGCTTAGTTTGCGACAGGTAGACCTGATGGGTCATTTAATCAATACATTTCACCTGATTGACTAATTACCAAGACACCCATTTGTAAACAATCTTATGAGAAAAACAGATTATTAGAAAAACACCACCTGCAGGCTTTTTTAGTATTTGGCTGTCATTGTTTATCTCCAGCTCCCTAAACCTCCCCAGGCCGATTCTGGGAAAACTTATCTAGCTTTCTCTCTCTTTGATCAGGCTGTCACATCCACAATCACCCAGGTGGGTGACACCAGGGGGACACTTGTAGAGGGGATATTGGGGTGTCTTGGGGGTGGCACTGGGGGGAACAGTGCCAAAAAATGGGAGAAAATTAGCCTAAAAAAGAGGGGAAGAATCCCCCAAAGAAGAAAAAGAACGCCCAAAAGATGGAAAAGAGACTGAAAAGAGGAAAAAGAGATCCCCAAAAGGGAGAAAAGAGCCCTGAAAAGATGGGAGAGGAGACCAAAAAGAGGGGGAAGAGCCAAAACTGGGGAAAGGACCCCAAAATTCAGGATAAGAGACCAAAAAAAGGAGCAAGAGCATGGGGTGGGGGGGGGGGGGGTGGGGAGGGGGGGAAATAACCCCAAAAGATGGGAAAAGAGACCGTACATGGGGAAAGGAGCCAACAGAGGAAAAGTACTGAAACAAGTGGAAAGAGATCAAAAAAAGAGAAAAGAAGGTGTAAAGGATCCCCCAAATGAGAATAGAAACTCAAAGGGATGGGAAAGACACCAAAAATGAATGAAGGACCCAAGAATGGGGGAAAGGAATATTAAAAAGGGAGCAAGAGTGCAAAAAAATAGGGAGAAAGAGAGACAAAAAAGAGTGACACCAAAAATGACGGAAAGAACCCCCCACAAAGTGGTGGGAGAGAAGCATAAGAAAAGGGGGAAAAAAGATTCCAAAGTAAGGGAAAAGCAAATAAAAAAGGGGGAAATAAACTCTCAAATTGGGGAAAGAGACGAACAACAGAGGGAAGAGAATTAAAAAATGGGCATAACAAGTCCAGAAAAGGGGGAAAAGACCCTAAATTGGGGGAAATTGCCACAAAGTCCCCCTTGATTTTGCCTTTCTTCCCACCCAGCGATGTGGAAAATTGACATTTCACCTGAGTGGCCAGGCCCTATCACTGGCATCATCCTCAAACAGCCTCAGATGCAGAAAACCTGGATTTTTTAAGTGTCAAAACTGTGCTTTCACCCCCAAAATGAAACCTGGGAGAAAATGACATTTGCGGGTGACCTGGGATAAAATCCTGAGAATTCTGGGAAAATGCTGGGGGGCAGTGGGGGAGTGGGGAGGGCTGTTCCCACCCTGTTCTGCCGCGGGTGGTTCTGTGTCCCGTGTCCCCCCTTCCCCCAGCCTCCAGTCGGTCAATATTTCCCAACGCCTGAGTCCCACGGCGGGAGGTGGGGGAGAAGGGTGGGTTGGCACCTGGATGTTTGGTGCCAGGGAGGGGAGGGGGTTCCCAGACCGAGTCCACCAGGGGAGGTGTGTGCTACAGCACACATGGAGGGGACGCCTCACCACTATCCCCAGTTCCTCTCAGTATATGCCAGTACCCACCCCCCCAGTCGTCCCCAGTGTGCTTTCTGGTATCCCCAGTCTCTCCCAGTACAACAAACCCCTACCCCCTCGTTTCTTCCAGCTTCCCTCAGCTGCCCCCAGTATACCTCCGTGATAAATGGATATGATTTATGCTAACTGCATTGTAACTATAGCAATATTTTAGAAAACATTTGCTAATAATGGGAAAGCAGATGGGCCCTTTACAGTTGTTACATGTGAAAAATAGGATACAGGATGTAGTATTGAGATAAGCTAGAACCTAAAACAGAATCAGCCTTGGGACGAGCAAAGTTGGGACAATTCCAGATATGTAGTGGTAGAGTAGTGGTCTTATCTATGAAATAATAAGGCTTATTTGGAACATAATGCTTACTTTACATAACACAAAGCTTAATGCACATGCACAACCTGCAAGGTTATTCAGGGAGCAGCGGGGAAGATGATGAGCCTTCCTCTGAAAAGACCACCAAAAAAATCAGAAGACCCCTAGCGGAACATGTGCTATGCAGTATAGTGACATAGATTTTAAGAATCCCAAATAGGAGATTTGCGGGAAAATACTGATGAATATGTATGTCCATACAGTATATAAGCTGTGTTTGCATTCCATTGTTCCTTTTAAGGGAGGCAGGGTAAGAAACGTCCCCCGTACCCTGGTCGGTTTTACTTATGCTTTGTATGAACCTTAATCATACTTAATTAATCACTGCCAAATTTTTGTATATGCTTGATTATATTTTATATACTTGATTGTATTCATTTTATGAAAAATTGCTGTTCGATTAAAATTGCTGCTAAATTCAATTTTGTTGGTTATTAAATTAGACATATCGAACTTCATTCATAACAATTTGATGATGAAACCTGGGAACTCCAGCCTGGTGGAAGGGAGGCTAGTCTTGAGAAGGAGCTCCCCATCAGTCTTTAAGGTGATCCCAAGGTTAGACTCGGTTCCCTTGGAGAAGGAGTTCAAATTATGATAAAGCATAAATAAAAGAAGCTAGCAATAGGAAGCACACAAAAGGGCTCCCTTTAGGAGTGCCAGCTAAAGGTGAAGTGCCTGTAAAATGCCTTGTGGCCAAGAACAGTGAGGAAAAGCAGACTGTGTGAGTACTATGGGGTGGGCAGGGGAGCGCCTGGGTGCTTTTGTGTGTGTGTGTGTGTGTGTGTGTGTGTGTGTGTGTGTGTGTGCGCGGAGTATTTGAGATGAGGGCTGGGTAGCCTGGAGCCTTGAAGTGAGTGTGGACCTCCCAGTACCACGTTTTTGGCTCTCTGCGAGGAGACTGGCCAGGAAAGGAGGGAAGCAAAAGAGGAGAATGAGTGAGGATCCCTGGGAGGGACTGGCAGGGAGGGTCCGGGTCTGAGAACCCATGGGAAGATCCTCAAGGAGAAGGGAGCAATCCGACCGCTCAGTGGGGTGACTAAGGAGGGGAGTGATTGAGTCAGGTTCAACTTTCCATGAAATGAAAATAGTTGGCCACTTTAATATGAGACTAAGAGGGACTGTGAGGGGAAGTGGCCAGAAGAACCTACTCAGGGAAGACAGAGGGAGAGGCAGATTAGATTAGGCGTAAGGCAAGTAGTTGGTGAGAAATGAGATAGTGTAACAGAATAACATTAAGTGCAGGAGTGGAACCATAAAGCAAGTGAGGTAAAGACTGGGGACTTGGTTTGTTGCTGCCAAAATTGGGTCAGAGGAAGAGTAATCCTTATACCTAGGGCTTGCAAATTATGAGGGTAATTTGCAAGAACCTGGGATACCTGGCAACCAAGAGGAGGGTTCTCAGGAAGAGAGCATTCCTCAGGACACTCCACTGGGGATGATGTTATGATTTTGGGATGCATGGAAATTTCAAA